CAAACAAACAAACAAACAAACCTTCTGGTCAGTAGTTCAAAATTAGGGACAGTGGCAGAGAACCTTAATAATTTTCCATAAATACAAATGACAGCCCTTTCATTATGAATCTTGAAATAGGCTTATCTCATTTCATTTTTTTTTTTTACTTTCTTAAGCAATGGAGTAATATTTTATATAAAATTCAATCTGAAACGTATAGGTGTTTATGGGGGAAAAAGCAACATTTGTCCATAAATAGGGTTATTATTAGCTAACATTGTAAAATTCGTACGGGTTGCATCTTCGTTGGAATATATACATTTTGCAATTTTGGGGTTTTATGAACCTTTATAATATTTTTTTTAAGGTCCCCATTTTTCTTGCCACTTTTCTAGTGCACGTAAAATATTATTCACTTTTATTTTCAGTTTTGTTGATGAACGTGACATAGCGGTTAACGTGTTTAACTGTGGACACATGATTCGTATCCTCTTGCAGTTAGAAAAAATGCTCTTCATACTGTGGGGCCATGGGTGCGTTATAAGAGTGACGGTCAAATCCAATGTTCGATTAGGGCAGTCCAAGCGATGGTGATGGGTCGGTTGAGTAGTTGCCTTCCATATAGTCTATCAGTTCAAAATTGTAAGATGACCTTAGCTTGGTTTTTGCAAAAATCCGAAACAAAATTTTTTTCTGATTTGTATTATATTTTCAAATAGATTCTGCATATCGCTGTTTTATTTTAATCTTCCTTTTAAGGAGTCTGTGTTTTCAAATTGTGTTGATTGATCAGTCAGATTTTTTACGTAGATTCTCAAGGCTTTGTAAACTTAATATTGTATGATTCGTGTAAAATGTTTTATTGTTAAGTGCTCAATGCTTTAATAGATGATGTTGGTGACTGCGTTAGGATATATTTAATATGGAATCTAACTAGATGTTTTAAATGATATTTGCCTGTGATATTCCGTCGGAACTAATTTATAGGTATTTCTGATACTTAATGCAATCTAAAAGTTTTGAAACAATTATACAGATTAACTTCTCATAAACGAATATTGGTAACTGAACCTCAAAAGACTATAGACTATCAATTCAAACTTAGGAATAGCTATTGCAGATAGCCCTCGAGTAGCTTTGCGTGAAGTATCAAAACACAAACAAATTCAAACCAAAAAGCCCATAAAGGAAATAATTATTTTACTGCAACTTTTTTCCTAGTCTTTTTCTGTTTGATTTAAATCTGAGTTAAACATGATGATAAATAGAAGTGGCGTAAAGATAACATAACATAACACTTAAACTTATAGCTCTCATATCTATTCTTTTGGTTTTCATTATTGCATATCAACTTCAAGAGAAGGCTTGTTATTTAATGTTTATTTTAGTTCTGTTTTGTTTAAGCAGAATTCGGTGAGTTACATTAAAATTATGTAAGGATGAGAACTAAGTAAAGATTGTATAATATTTTCAGGCTACGTACTTCGTTACAAAAGAGACTTTGGTCAGTGGGAAAATGAAAAGGTCTCACCTTCCGTTACCACCTTTTCTTTAGAAAAACTGAGTTGTGGAACAAAATATTTGCTTCAGCTAGTTGCTATGGGTACTGGAAGTGAAGGTGACCCTAGCAACGTTTTGTCTATTCGCACTAAAGGAGAAGGTAAGACATACCTAAATTACATCACTTCCCTTGGTTGTTACTCTAAGTTAGTTTATTTCCCACTAGATGGCAGCACATAATACTCATACTGTATAAATAGATTCTATAATTTGACGCAACGGATCATCTGATTAGATTTTAATGATCTTATATCATTGTAAAAGTATTTGGTGATAAAAACTGTACAGTAAATTATTTAAAGAAATACATTTATAAGTAACGCATTATCTGTGTTATACATTTTCGAAATATAATGCGATGAACACTTTTATATAGTCGCTTTCAAATGTTTTGGAAAACAGAAGTATAAGAGTAAAGATTCAGACCTGAATGAAAGTTATAAAACCTTTATTGTTATTATTATATATGTAATCATTTACTGAACCTTTCAATGTGTAGACAACAACTGAAGTACCTTACCTGTGATTAATAGACTTCATCACCTGCTTAGTAAAATATGGAACAAGTGACTCATGCCCATTAATCCACCCAAACACCCCAGTAGTATGTTTGGATACATTAGTTATCCATTACAATGATCCTTCCTTTCAATAATGAAAAAGGAAAACCGTATAGAACATTTCTCCCGATAGCCAAGTGCTTAGGAATTATATATAATCGTAAACCTCCTCCTGTTAGTCATGCTAACCAAATTAAATTAATCCAAGGATTTGGAAGATGTTAAAAATTGAGCTTCGAAAACATTTAATTTTGTTAGAACCTTGGCAACTAACAAAGAATATATTTTAAACAGATATTGGGTAATGCATTCTAGAACTCTGACATTCGCATTATTTTTAGGGTTTATAGAAATATTTCTACACTTACTTGGGTCTCCTAATGTTACCGATGTGACATTCTAGTAATAGGGACTACTCCAAGATAACCCAAATAAGCAGAACTGTTGTGGATGTGGAGAACGGTGGGAGAGAGAGAGAGAGAAGTTAAGTTGGTGTAACTCTGTTCTCTCTAACATGATTTACCCATTAGTCATTTAGTGTAACTCTGTTCTCTCTAACGTGATTTACTCATTGGTTAAGTTGATGTAACTCTGTCCTCTCTAGCATGATTTACCCATTGGTTAAGTTGATGTAACTCTGTCCTCTCTAGCATGATTTCCCTGTCCTCGTTATAACATCATTGAACCTTTAGTTAAGTTGTTGTAACTCTGTCCCTCTCTTGTTTTACCCGTTAGCTCAGTCGGTGTAACTCTGCTTTCTCTAAGCCAAATTATTATTTTTTATTGAAATCAAGAAAATTATACATTCAAATAAAAGTTTTGTGACAGTCTATAACTAGGAAAAATATTTGGGAGGAGAGGGGCTGCTAATTCTTAAGTCGGAGAAAATAGTTTGAAACAAGAAAAGAAGACTAGAAAAAAATCTTTTCTTTGCAACTTCGTGGGGGGCAGAGGGATTTGTAGTGAAAGTTAAAAGTGTAATATTTATATTCGATTACATCCATTCCCATGGCTTACTAATATTAACACTGTTCTGTTTGTTTGTTTGTTTGTTTGGAATTAAGCACAAAGCTACACAATGGGCTATTTGTGCTCTGCCCACCACGGGTATCGAAACCCGGATTCTAGCGTTGTAAGTCCGCAGACATACCACTGTGCCACTGGGGGGCAACACTGTTCTATTGTTTTAATATTGTACTGACAATCCATACAGTCTCTGTCTATGTTTTGTCTAAATATCATCTTTTCACAAATGGGTAAATCATGCTAGAGAGGATAGAGTTACATCAACTTAACTAATGGGTAAATCATGCTAGAGAGGACAGAGTTACATCAACTTAACCAATGGGTAAATCATGCTAGAGAGGACAGAGTTACATCAACTTGACCAATGAGTAAATCACGTTAGAGAAAACAGAGTTACACTAAATGACTAATGGGTAAATCATGTTAGAGAGAACAGAGTTACACCAACTTAACTAATGGGTAAATCATGTTAGAGAGAACAGTGTTTCACCAATTGACTAAGGGTAAATCATGTTAAAGAGCACAGAGTTACACCAACTTAACTAATGGGTAAATCATGTTAAAGAGCACAGAGTTACACCAACTGACTAACGGATAAGTCAAAGAGACAGAAGTAAATTATGTGAGGATGTGGGTGCTACATGTGACCAGAAAGAAACGATCAGGTACACAATATGAAAAAAAAAATACAGAATTAAATTATATAAGAATTTCGGTGTTACATATAATCGGAAAAAAAATCCAACAAGTATATCCCATTTAGAAAATCATAACAAAATTATATATATGAATTTGGATGCTGCATAACATAAGAAGGAAAGAACAAAACAGAACGATCCTTCGTTTTTTAGCTAGCGAATCGTGGGGATCAAGTTAAACCATTTAAACCATACACTGACCTGTGGTCAACTGACTGTATTAGTTAGTTTATTTTAATGTATAGATTCAAGATTGTGTAAACTGATTTCGCAAATCACCGAAAAAACCTTTTTGACTATAGTGTGTATTTACTCTCCTAAAAACATTATATACAGATAATTTTAACTTATTATGCAGTTTGAGAAATTCTAACACGATCGACAGAATCGGTTAAAAGCAACAAATATAAGCCATTTCCTTCATAATAAAACTGTAAAAAAAACAAAAAACACACTACGCTACAACTACATAGAAATGGTTTTGATTTCGATAAATACACATTATTTTATCATTTTGTCGTAGTAGAATACAACTACGTATTGTTTTATCATCTTGTCTGTAGTAGAATACAACTACGTGTTGTTTTATCATCTTGTCTGTAGTAGAATACAACTACGTGTTGTTTTATCATCTTGTCTGTAGTAGAATACAACTACGTGTTGTTTTATCATCTTGTCTGTAGTAGGATGTAACTCGTTTCTGCATATCACATATACGTACGTATGAAAAATACATATCGCTGTAAGAATTGTCCTCACCGGTGGGACAGCGGTAGGTTTGTGGACTTACAACGTTAACATCCGCGGTTCGATTTCCCGCGGTGGACACAACAGAAAGTCCAACGTGGCTTTGCTCTAACACAAACAAACAAACTATAAGAACTTGGAAAACATTATCAAGGCTTATGCACGTTTCTTTTGATTATAATTAAACACCGGTATTTAAGAAGACAAAAACAAACAAGTATATAGACAACACCGAAAACAAACTTAGCTCCGTGAAGGAGAAGTTTGTTTGTTTGAAGTTAAGCACAAAGCTACCCAATGGGCCATCTGTGCTCTACCCGTCACGAGTATCGAAACCCAGTTTCTAGCGTTGTAAGTCCGCAGACATATCGCTGTGCCACAGGGGGCGTGCGAAAGAGAAGAGAATTAGATTGATAATCGAATCTTACGTAAAACCAGCTAGATTAATTTTATCCTTTTTTTCTTCATAGCTCCTGAAGCTCCCTCTCGTGAAGCGTTTATTACTTTCAATTCCACTTTCGTAATTCTACACATGAACACATGGAACAGTGGAGGTTGTGCAATCAAATCTTTTATTATTCGATACAAACGTTTTTACACCATTGATTGGAAGGTAGCCGTCTCTGATCTAGGAAATCACCATGACCACGTAATAATCCAGGACCTATCGCCAAGCACGTGGTACAATTTACGTATAACAGCCCATAACAGTGCTGGCTCTACAGTGAAAGAATACACCGTTTCGACTTTGACCCCAGATGGAGGTATGGAAATTAATTTTTTAATCCTTGCTTACGGAGTTGATTTTAAATAATTAGCTTTTACAAAATTATTTATTGCTTTAACAGTGTGTATACAATGCTTTTTTCCTAACTAGCGATCTAAATTGGTAAATTACAGCTGTTTTAAAGTTAAGCCTAACGTAGAATATTCTAGTTTAGGCTTAACTTTAAATATTACTACGAGTAATTGTACATCAGATCCATATTATTCTTTCCTATTGCCTCCCCTCCTGTGGACTATGCGGTAAGTTTAAGGTCTTATAACGTTAAACATCGGGTTTCGATACTCGTGGTGGGCACAGCAGAGGTAGCCCATTCTGTAACTTTGTGATGGACGAGTAACAAACTCAAGACCAAACCAAGACGCCAGTTTATGATATGTTTTATAGAAATAAATATGTGTGGTAGCATGGCATATGAAGCAAAGCGTATGGTGTTGTTGTTTTCTTAGTGCAAAGCTACACACTGGCCCTGTCCACTGTGGAGAATCAAACAACGGACAGATATAGTGTTTATAGTACTTGTACGGATATACATAAAAGTGAATTAGTCTTTTCTTACAAAACTTGATAAACCAAAGGTTCAGGTTATTTACCTATGATGTGTACATTGCTGAACTCACTATTAAATCTTTATTCTTATTATTTATATACTTCTTTAATAATATTTCTTTTTCAATATTAGTTTTAAAGCACTGATTTAGACATATATATATATCTTTCGATAGTTTTCTACTGACTTATGTTTAGTAACAATCTTTGGTTCGAAACTTTACCTTGCCTCTTCTTAGTTATAGAAGCTCCATATCTTTGGTTTGAAAGTTTACCTTTCCTCTACTTAGTTTTATAACTTCCCAAACTTTGGTTCGAAATTTGACAGCCTCTACTTAGTTATAGAATTTATAAACCTAAATTCAAAGCTAGAAATTGCTAATGTTTTAATTTGTTTTTAAATATTTATATATATGGTGATATTAGGTTTCTAAAATCTCACCATATAATGCCTAGATTTCGTTTAGAATATACTTTAGACACTTGAAACATAGGCTGCAAAGAAGACCTCACTGTTATGCATCAGGGTATTTAGTATTAAGATTTATAAGCCCACGACTTAAGACATGTAAAATATTTCATTGATAACACGTAGAAGATAACTTGTAATATCCCATGAGTGATGATTTTAAAATCAATCCTTTTTTTGTCACTTTCCTGAAAAAGCCACGATAGCTCCAGTAGCTTTTGGGGGTTACCAGCGACCCGAGAAGCCTTGGGAGGAATTGAACATTATCATTCCAGTTGTTGCAGCTGCTATTGCTTTGACAGTCGTCTTGGGGGTGTCCATTTGTGTCTGCGTTAAAAGACGACAGTCAGGTGGGTGTTTAGAGGTTCTTTGATAAAGAAAACTTTGACGGAAGTGTTAATTTTAATACGTAAGCAAACATGATAGTAAAATTCAAACTGAGTTATGCATAGATAAATTTCAAATTTGTACTTTTGTTGTAAACCTAGAGGAAAACACAAACAAATAAAAAGAACACGGAGCCAAGTTTGGCCTAGTAATTAGCATGTTCGATCTATCAATTACATCTTGTACGTACTAACAAATATCAATGTTTTCGTATCTTGTTGGACCCCAGCCTGGCCAGGTGGTTAGGGCGCTCGACTCGCAATCTGCGGGTCGTGGGTTCGAATCCTCGTCCCACCAAACATGCTCGCCCTTTCAGCCGTGAGGGCGTCATAATGTGACGGTCAATCCCACCATTCGTTGGTAAAAGAGTAGCCCAACAGTTGGCAGTGGGTGGTGATGACTAGTTGCCTTCCCTCTAGTCTTACACTACTAAATTAGGGACGGCTAGCGCAGATAGCTCTCGTGTAGCTTTGCGCGAAATTCATAATAAACTATTATATCTTGTTTTGCTGTCGTTGGCAGAATGTATCGCAAAAAGGCATAACTACATCCGTATACCTTATTTTATAACTAACTTTTTATGTGCATGCTATCTTTATGTTTTGGTTAAATTTTTATTCCACAGACGAACTGTACGAAAGAAATAGACCTGGAGGTCCAGACATGATTCTTCGCGATAGTCAAAAGAAGGTGCAGGACCAAGTCCAGTTCCGGGAAATGGCAACATACCAGAGGGCTCCGAAAGCTCAGAGACCAGTTCGAAATGACCCAACTTTGGAGCGTGATCAGATTCTACCCCTACCAGAGGAACAAGACCATTGTAATGGTAGATACATAACTTAAATGTTTGAAATTAATTAATTAATTGAGGATATAAAGAACAACTGTCTTCTGTTGTATGAAAAGTGTAGAAACTGATTAGATATGTCTTCTGTGGGTATGTAGGTACAACTGATTAGATATGTCTTCTGTGGGTATGTAGGTACAACTGATTAGATATGTCTTCTGTGGGTATGTAGGTACAACTGATTAGATATGTCTTCTGTGGGTATGTAGGTATAATCTGATTAGATATGTCTTATGTGGGTATGTAGGTACAACTGATTAGATATGTCTTCTGTA